TTTTTTTTTTTCCTTTTTTTTTTTGTTCCTTTTTGGCTGATTTGCTAGACAGGAGAAGTTGTTTTCAAACCACTGGTAAGAAAACATTGTGCCTCACTTCAATACTTGTACTTCAGAGGAGTACAATGGCCGAGGGGGAACAGCCAAAAACACTGGTTATTTGTTGGGTGTTTTTTTGCCTTTTTCAGCCATCTTCTGAAGCCTTGCACATGTTCTGTGCCAGCAATAAACCCCAGTGCTGGGACCTGGAGGGGAGGAGAAGGGGAGGGAAAAAGAACGGCATGTGCTCAGACCCAGCCACACCGTGCCCAGCACCAGCATGCTGTTATCAGCCACAGCAGCTGCTGATGGGGGTCCCCACCCGGATATGCTCTGGACATGACAAGGGCACCCCACACCTCCAGCCAGGATGGACAGGGCTGTTCACGTGCTCACCAGGAAGCGTTCGTCCCCAGGTGCCTCTCACCTTTTACTGCCCTTCCTTCAGCGTCTCCTCCTCTCGCAGCTGCTGCCTCCGTGCTTGGAAGTCTTCATCTGAAAGGCAGAGGCAGATGGGGGCTGGAGGGGTCTGCAGCTGCTTCCACGCTGGGACACCACCGCTCCAGCAAGGTGTCCCAGTGGGAAGACAACCTGACCCTGCCCTGGGGCAGGGATTTCCTCCCCCACACAGGCTGGGTCATAGGGACCCTCTGCCAGAACACCCCCAAGAGCACCGGAAGGAGCTTTTGGCCCATGGTGGCATTTCTGCCACATGGCTGCACCTGAGCCAGCCCTGGGGTGGCCAGGGCTGGCACAAAACCCACGGCCAAGACCCACCTCTGTGCAAATCTGGCTATTGACAGATCCGCCAGGACTGTGCCCTGACCCCACGCAGGGCTGCACATGCCAGCTGCAAGCCCCCGAGGCTCCCCAAAAGAGGAGAACCCATCCCCAGATCATGTGCTCACAGGACAGCCGCATGGGACCAGGGGCGAGCCTGTTCCATGGGTGGCCATGCCCCAGCAGAGACCTGACAGCAGCCATCCCCAGCACGGCAATGGTGTGGGGCAGGATGGGGCCAAGCACCATGGGACCTCAGCTACCCATGCTGAGCACAGCACGCATGGTACAGCACAGCACGGTGTTTCTTACCGCATGAATGTCCTTCGACATCATCGAGAAGATTTGCCGTGGAAGCTGCCGTCCCCAGCCTGTGTCCTCCGCTAAGGAAAACTAGTCTTGGGACCAGGACGTGGCCACAGCACAACAATGGCCCTTCCCATTGGCCCAGCTGTGAGAGGCAGCCAGGGAGGCTCCAGCCAGACCACAGCCTTGGGGAGTCCCCAGGGGCACCTCATCGAGACAGCTCCAACAGCCCTGCACCCCCCACGCAGTCCCCCAGCCTTTTTTAGGATACACTTGGTGCTTTAACAAGTGTTTTCTTTTCGATTTCCTCATCTTCGTCTTCTCAGAGAAGGCTCTAGCGAGTTCAAAGAGCTTCTTGCGCGTGGCTGGAAGGAAGCAGCTGGGTGAGAGTCTCGCCCCAAAACCTTTCCCAAAGCTGCCATGGGTGATGGAGAGATGGCCAGGGCCAGCGGTGCAAGAGCCACCTGATGTCCTACAGCAACAGCCCAGGTCTGCCTGAGAACACCAGTGCAGCGCAAGGTTGCGAGGCTCAGAGAGCCAGGCCCTGCAACCAGCGGGGACACCTTGGTCCCTGGCCAGGGGTGCGGCCATTTGTACCTTTTCACTGGGATTTTCATGACCTTCCCACCCATGACTGACCCACATCTCCCCAGTGTCTCACCCGGCTGCAGCCCGACTAAGCTGCTCAAAGACCTGGGTTTATTTTGCAACGGGAGAGCCGGCGGTGACTTGCTAAGAGGAAAGAATTGGAAACGGGAGGGTTACAGCAAAGCCCCTGCTCGCTTTTCTAGGATTCACACAAACCCTGCTCAGAAATTCCTCTATCCCCCAGCATCACCTGCATCCTCTGCTCATGCCACAACCCACACATGCCCCAGGGACAGACAGACACTGCAGACCTGGGGCATCGAGACCCAGGTCTCCGTCTCTGGTCCGGCGTGCTGGCGCCCAGCCCTGGCGTGTGGCACAGGAGCTGGTGAGAGCTGGGCGAGATGGCAGGGCAGGATGCACCAGCCCAGGACTGAAAAACGCAGGCAGAAACAACCCCAAAGCACTGCTGCTGGGGCTGAGCACTGAGCGCAGCGTGCCTCCGCAGCGTGCAGCCTCTTGTGCCAGCCCTCCGCGTGATTCGTGGGGCAAGGGGACGCACGTGGCCAAGAGAGGTGACAAGGAACCCTCCTACACGCACGCTAGCAGACGTGCGTGTGCTGGCTGACATGTCCGCAGAGGCACAGCACGCCAAGCCACGAGAGTCGGCAGCAGACGTCGGGCAACGCTGCCGGCTCTTCCCCTGCCTGCCCCGCTCCCACCGCCCCTCCAGCCCTCACAGGCGTCCCGCTGCCAGCACAGAGCCTGCAAACCGACTCACATTTTCCCATGTGTTTCAGTTTGTCTCTGAATAAGGCATCATCAGACACGGCACCGCCGGCCTCGCTGGTTACAGACGGGGCTACGTCACCTGGAAGGCAAACATCTGGTCACCGGGAGCGTGTGCGCATGAGGCTCCAGACAAATAATTTCCGTGACCCAGTTCCAGCGCTAGCCAAGCGCAGCCCTGCCACGAGCTGAGCTGAGCAAGAGCGGGCAGGATGAGGGCACTGGCACGCCGGGCTGGCTCTGGACGAGGACCCTCTGCAGAAATAACCCCCAAGACTGTTGGTTTGCAGCACCTTGCTCACCTTCATCTGCCTGTGAGCGGACGTGGGGCGAGCAGCAGCTCAGTCCCCACCAGCACCGCTGCAGAGCAGGAGGCCCTCCCCCCCATGCTGCTCCAGGGGCAGTAGCCCCAAATTACCCCAGGCACTAATTGCACCCTGGGTACTGGATCGTGCCTGTGCTCAGCACCCAGGACAGCAGGGCCCCTGGAGCAGAAGTCAGGCATCCCAGCAACTTGGTCAGAGGGACCAGAGACCTCAACACGTCCTTGTGCCCCCTCCCCTCATCCAAGCCCCTTCCCCAGGTCTGGGTGCCCTCACCCAGCCAAAGCTCTGCCCCTGCGTCTTGCCCATGACATGAACAGACATCAGCCCTATTTCTGAGCCGGGGCAGCTGCTCCACTCCCTGAGGTTAATCAGGATTACCGGGGAACAGTCATTATGCCTCCCAGGCAAAATCCTCCACTTCGGCCGAGGCAGGGAGGGCTTTGTCTCTCCTGGGAACTGGATCCCAGCTCCCAACCACAGGGACGGACAGATGCAAGACACAGGAGCACATCCAGTGGGGAGGGCAGGGAGGGCAGCAGCACCCATCACTCACCACCTCCTCTCCCACATCTAGGGGGGCAGCAGGGAGGGATCAGCCAGTCTTCCCCTGCGGCCACACTGGAGGCAGGTGGCAGCAGTGGCAGGCCAGGAACCCAGGAGCTGCTGAGAGGCGATGCTCACGCGCATCTTGAAAGTTACCTGATATTACGGAGGAGAAACCAAAGTCGTTGCTGACAGCAACACTGGTTGACTTGGACTTTTTTGACTCATATTTCAAGCGATCTGAAAAACAAAAAGCCCAGTGTCCCGTTCAATCAGACTCCCGATGCAGCGTCCACGCCCACGGCTCCGCTCCCCTCTCCTCTCACAGCCCCCATGGCTACAGAGGAACAGGCTGATAGCAAGGGAGAGAGCTTGGGCTTCGCAGTGTCCCACAGCAGCTCAGCCACCACAGGAACAGCCTGACCCAGCCCAGCAAGGGAGTTTCTGTGCAGCCCCAAGGTAGCATGGAAGCACCTCTGCCAAGGTAATCCCACAGCGGGACAAGACATGCCGTGCTTCAGTTACAAATGATCTACCAAAAAGCTATAAAAGCTCTCCAGAGATGTGCTCCTCCCCAAGGACACACTTCTGACATGCTCCAGGGACAACAAACATCTCCCCTGCTACAGCTGGGGAATGGGGATGCTGCCCTCTGCACCTGGGTGGGCTCGGCACGCTTGGCATGGCAGAAGCAGAGCCAGAAGGAAGGCAGACTGTTCCTGGAGCTGAAAGCCCTTCACTTCAGCACAGCGACCATGAGTGCTTCAGAGGGAGCCCGCAAAGCAGGCAGGAGCACTCCTCTCACCACCACAGAGGAATTGCGAGCACGCCACAAGCATGCTGGTGGTTTTCCAGGGGTGAGCCCTGCAGCGAGGGTGCTGCCAGGACCCTGCAGACCACCAGCAAGACCTCTAAGGGTGACAGCCCCTCGGCCGGGGGGCTCAGAGCGAGTGAGGGAGAGGGCAGCTCTTTGCTCTGCGGCAGCAAAACCACCAACACCCTTGAGCCCTCTCAGCGGCACCAGGCGAACAGCTGGCTGCAGGCTTGCCAGGATGGAGTGTGGTGACAGGGAAGTAGCAATCATGGCAAAACTGCTCTCCAGTTCAGGCTCTGCCAGCACCTGGGGGGGACACACAGCCGGGGAGGGCACCCCAGCAGGGCTGGGCTCGGAGGACATTTCTGAGGCTCTGAGGCTTTGCCAGAGACACCACGGAGAGGAGAGCCTCATGGCAGGCGGCTGAGCACCAAGAGCAGGAGCCTGGGGAGCAGCCCACCGCATAGTGTCAGCGGGTCGGACCACCCACCACCAGCCTGGCTGCATTCTGTGCTGGCTGTGCACAAGCACCATACCACAAGCAGAGCAACGCTGCTGGCAGCACCCAAAAGCAGAGGCAGATGTTTCTGAGGG